CATGGTCTACTTCCATTTCCCCTTTCTCATTCACAGGAATGGCTTCCTCATATTCTCTCCTCTTAGGGAAACCTCTGGCCTCTACACCTATATTTGCCCTACTCAAATGTTTAATATCCAGTAACACTAAGAGCGATCCGTGAAGTAAAAAACAATTTCCTATTTCTCTTTTCTCAAAGTTTAGTTTCTCTCTGCCTGCTATCTCAATAAATATACTCTCTGATTTCTTTTTATACTCTCAAAAAAATCTTAAACTGTAAACCTTAAGGTGACCACGTGGTATGAACAATTTTAATCACAATTAATTCTCTGTTTATTTTATCTCCTTTTAGACTAGGACAGCAACAGGCCTCATTTTAAATTGGTATGGATTTTTATAAAAATTCAAAGTTATGTTTTACAATATATATGATTCAACCCTGGTTCAAAATAATTTTTATATAATGCTAAGATTTCAAAGTTATAAAAGTCTATTCAAATTAAGCTAATTCAAAATATACATCTAATTGCCTATATCTTTATAAATTCCTAAATTAATAAATGCTGTTTCTCCTGCAATGAGCTGCCTTTGATCCAGATTCACCACTAGGCTTTCTGGCTAATAGATTTGGTATTCAAATGTAACTTTAAAATTGCTTTACATTGTTCTACCATATTGTTGGTTTAAAAACTCACAACTCAGGGGTTACTATGCACAAGCTTTTACCAATACTCTAAATTAAGATCTATTAATTTTAGAGGCATTTATGTTAAAACTTTATCATTGTGTTATATCTTCACTATCAAAAGGTTAAAATATACTTGGTCTTGTTTTCTAAAAATGGTATTATTATTAATCTATAGTATAGCATTAGACTTTTATAAGCTATGAACTTTTTATATACTAAATCATACAGAAAACTGTTATGCTCTCACTTTAATGGAATATATTTATGACTTTTAAGGCTCCAGCTTAATAGGGACAAAACAGAAATCCTAATATTTGATGGTTAACAAACACAAGTTAATAGTCAGTCATCTCATAGATGATCAAGTTCTCTAACATGTCCAAAAATATATTGAGAGCCCTACAGATGCAAACATGGTCTCACTGCCATCTCTAATAAACAGCTGAGGATGGTCCCTGAGTCACCATACAGTAGTTGGTAAAAATAATAAGAGGGGAGCCTTCCGGGCAGACCCATCTACAGCAAAAACTATGCTTGGACCTTGGCTGCTGCTCTGAGGCTCTCAGCATTCCCACACAGAAAACAAGCGGTCTGCAATGCCCCATCCCACCAAAAGTCAACTCTGCCTGTTTCAAATGTAGCCAAAGGGGACACTGGTCCTGCGGCTGCCTCAACAAACCACACACTGCCTACTGGAAGACTGGCTTTTGGAAGTCAAATTGCTCTCACGCAGGCTTATCCTCTGTGCCCAACCACGGAGGCTCAACCAGCACAAGAGCCACAGACACTTCCAGCTTTTGAGCTCCTTGGCCTGGTGGAGGACAAACAGCTCCTTTATTCAGAGATCTCCACTACCCTCCCCCAGCCCACGGTAACATTGCAGGTCTGTTTTGGCCTTACGCTCAGGTCCCACAGACATATTGCTAACTTCTGTCTTTGGGAGACTTCAGATGCCTTTTCGGTTATCTTCATATTCAGGAGACTAGGCTTAAGCATGAGTCCTAGAGTTGCTATTGTCAGGTCTAGGCACAATATGCCTTGTTGCCAGACTCGAAACAGGCCTCAGATGGAACCTTTTACCATCCATTTAGCTAAAGGACAAAAACCGTCCACAGCAGTCTCACCTATGTCTCATGGTAAATGACTAGATACAAAGGCCGAAGGAAAATGTTGTTTGAGGGTCTAAGAAAGTGTTTTAAGGTTGGTAAATGCAAGTTATAAAGGTTGCAAGGCCTAAGGTGAATTTAAGGTATCCTAAATAGGTAAAAATGCTTAATATTTCCTCCTGTTGCTATGCTACTGTTATATTGACTGTCCAGAGCTTTGACCTTTATCAATAGAGCTCTGATTTATTAATCTAACTTTAATACAAAAACATCCCACTATACTACCCACTATCATGGTTCCAAGCTCAAGAGTTTAAATCTCCATAATGTGTAATTATACTAAAGGTTAAGATCAAGCTTTTGTCCCGTCTTCTTCTTCACGAAAGCCTTCTGCCTTTTCAGAGCTTCAAAACAGCCTGTTCTTCCTGGACTTGGCCAGCATTTCAGCCTTTTGGCCTCCCTACAGCACCCTCAGTGTCAGCAGGAAGGAGCCAGAAGAGAATCTACGCCCATTATTCACTTATTACTAACAATAGGCTGGAATGGTGTGCTTCAGGCCCAGGACAAGTAGCTCTAGCTTCTCCCAGCATTCCTCAGCTCCTACCTGCTGCCTTGTGTGGCTGGCAACTCTCTACCCTGAACTTTCCAGGGCAGAGGCTTCCCCTCCTCTTGACCATGTAATCTGGATATTTTGTTGCTATTATTTTTTCCCTCTCTCTCTTACCCCCTTGCATGTCAACCAAGAGCTGCTTGCAATGAACCTAAGTTTATATACTTTAACTTGCCTTACACAAGAAGCCCAAGCTCCTCATTTTTTAATTATAGAAAAAAGGAGGAATGTTAGTATTTAGGTGGCCTGCTTCTGGGCTGCCTAGCAACCTATGGTATCATCATGTGTTGCCTACCAGGTAGCCACACCTAGCAGGCATGGTTAAGTTTCTCCTGAAAAATATCAACCTGCCACTTTTTTTGTGCTCTTGCCCTGCTCTCTTGCCCTCTTACCCTCCCCCCTTTCTCTGTCGGGCTGCCCAACAGAGGAGATCCTTGTCCAGGTCACATAAACAGACAACCTTGGGATTTCCTGTCCCATCAACGAAAAGGCAAGTCAGGGAATTTTGGGGGTCCATAGGATAGTGTAGGCTCTGGATTCCTGGATTGGGGCCTGAGGGTACCCTTTAGCCTTCAGACAGACTAAATAAGGCCTGCTTTTCACCTTGGCCTTATCACTTCCTGACATTAACAGATAGGCTTTTCCACTTATATATGGATGAGTGGAGGGGTATTGCTAAGGAGATGCTTATTCAAAAGCTTGGCCATGGTAATGATCAGTGGCTTACCTTTCAAAAAAAAAAAAAAATTAGACCCTGTGGCTGTCAGCTGGCCCGCCTGTTAGGACCAATGAAATGATGATGCATACAGCAGATTTTATATGAAAGATGTTTATTAGATGAAGATGAAGAGAGAGAGGAGGAGAGAGCGAGATATGATAGGGGGAAGGGAGGGGGTGCCCCAACAGAGAAGGCAAGAGACCCTGAGCATGAGGAAGCTCAGGACTTCAAGGAGGTGCTGATAAATAGGAAGGACCAAGGCAGAAGAGAGAAGGGTAAATGCTCCAGGACAAGAATTTCTATCCGGGTGTCCCCAAGCAAACTGTGAGATTTACAGTTCACTTAAAGACGGAGAGAAATATCCAAAATCATAGAGGACAGGCATTCCTTTTTACCCGATAGGGGCCTGGGAGGGTGAGAGGGAGCTTCCTAGTTTCCTATGTGGCTTTTACAGTCATGGTAGACAAAGCAGGCAGCTCCAGGGTGACGCTTACCCGGGAGAGGAGGAGAGATGAGTGGGTAGAGCAGATAGAGAAGAAAGCAGCTGAAGAGGTGGACTGGGAGAGGCTTTGGAAGAAGGAGGGTTCACATAGAGGGAAGAGGGACAACTGTCTTAGCAGAGAGATGCCCATGTGGTGGGCTCCCAGGATTTAGCAGGCTCCATGAGCCAGAGACTGAGAGGAAACTTCCTGAGAAGACAAGGAGAGACAACGGGTAGAACAGGTGGAGGGAAAAAGTGATTGAGGAGAACTCTAGATTTGGAGGCAACTGTGGTGGCAGAAGCCAGCAGAAATAAATATCCATCCATCCATCCACCCACCCACCCACCCACTCATCCATCCATCCATCCATCCATCCATCCATCCATCCACACCTTAAGAGAGTCAAATCAACAGTGTGGTTTGGCTAGCAGAGGGCAAGCTCCTTGCAAGGGGCTCATATATGCTCCTCCTGGGTTTCGGGGCACCAGATGCATAAGGTGAGGACACGACCATTCCAATTATGGTTAGGGAGGTTTTTATTGTAGATATAAAGGATAGTACAGTGAGAGACATTTGGAAGAGTCCAGAGCAGAGAGAGAAAGCAGTAGACTTACATGGCCAGCAGACTGGACCAGGTCTTGAGAGGAAGGGTGGGAAGAGGGAGAAAAAGAAAGGACCAAGAGAGAGCAGGTACAAGAGAATGTCAAGAGATGGAGACCCAAGGAAGCACATGGCCAAAATGGAGCGGTTATTTAGGAATGAGAAACGGAGGAAGGGAAGCCCATGAGCTGGAGAAGTTTAGGGTAAGAGGAGCCACAGGCACTGAGTGAGCCTGGAGGCCAGCAAGCTCTTTGGTCTGCTAACAGGCACCACAGGTAACCATTTTTCCTGAGTTTATTTTGGATCTGACACCAAGGACTTGCCTTAATCTAAACTGTCCCCGCTTGGCCCATAGGAAGTAGCACTGTTAGGAGTTGGGGCCTTTTTGGAATAAGTGTGGCTTTGTTGGGGAAAGCGTGTCTCTGTGGAGGCAGGCTTTGAGGTCCTATGCTCCAGCTATGCTCCGTGGATCTGCTTGTGGATCATGATGTAGAACTCTCAGCTCCTTCTCCAGCATGACCATGTCTGCCTGCACGCTGCCATGCTTCCCACAGTGATGATAATGGACTAAATCTCTGAAACTGTAAACCAATCCCAATTAAATGTTTTCCTTTATAAGAGTTGCCTTGGTCTGGATCTCTGTGAGTCTGAGGCAGCCTGGTCTACAAAGCCAGTACAAGACAGCCAGGGCTCTGTTACACAGAGAAACCTTGTCTCGAGAAACAAACAAACAAACAAACAAACAAGCAAACCAAAAAAGACACCTTGTCATGGTGTCTCTTCACAGCAATAAGACAGTAACTAAGACAACACATGTAGAACCTTTATTCTCTTAGGCATTGTAGACACCAGCAATTAGCAAGATTGGAATTAGTGTTGTCAGTAGGAATAGCCGGTTTCTGTGATCTAAAAGTGGGAAAAACAAAAAATTAGGTCAAGTCAAGAACAGAGTGCTGGAAGTACAGGCCATGGCCAGTGTGCCCCAGTTGAATTTACTGTAATTTTTGGTAGTATTGGGCTGGAATTCAGGGTGTCATGCATGCTAGGAAAATTCCCTACCATTGAGCTTCAGCCCAAGGCCTAATTTTTACATATATTGTTAAATGGGGTTCCAGCTTCATTCTTTCACATGTGTAAGTTCTTTGGCCAGCATTATTTATTGAAGAGGCTGCTTTTCCCCTACAGAATGTTTGGCTCAAGGGTCTACTTATTGTAAAGAATTATTATAAATTCCATTCACACATGAATGAAGACAATGTGGGTTGGACAATGATGATTCAGTCATGAAAGGGAATGAGGGGCCCTGGCACAGCTTCAACCTAGATCAGCCTTAAAACACGACACTTGGGGCGGGGAGGTGTCTGGAGAGATGGCTCAGTGGTTAAGGTGCCCTTGCAGGGGACCCGGGTTCAGTTCCCAGCATGCACGTGGTGGCTCACAAGCATCTGTGACTCCAGTCCTAGGTGATCTGACACCTCCTGCACACGTGGAAGTAGACATACATGTACACACCCCCACATGTAAAGTGTTTTTAGAGAAAACAGGACACTCAGGGCTCCAGACTCTACCTCTGGGAACCACCCAGACAGGCCAGGCCACTGAGGCAGGTCAGCCTGGGACATGGCTAACAGAGACATGCTTTTGGGGGACACATTGTAACAGATGGAGGGATGGTATTCAGTGTCACTTGGATGTCCACCTTGAAACAGTTGATGCTACGGTATGCAAACTGAATGAATATTCAACAAGCAGACAGTCATAGGAACTAAAAATAAATCTGTCTTACCTGAGGTAGATGGATTACACAATGTGTTTGCTGTGGAGTTGCGTTTCTGGAGGACAGGGACTCCCTGGGGACACCTGCAGAGAGACAGCCTCAGTTCTTCCTGCCAGACCTCTCCTGCTGTCCAGAAAGGGCTTAATGCCACTCCCAACCACAGCAGGTAGCATCATGACCCAAGTTCTGAAACAGGGCTCTGGCCACACAGCTTTCACCAGCCCCACTGGCATCTCAGACACGATCATGTGATCCCCACTCAATACACAACATTTGCTCCATTTCCCTCCTCCGTTGACGCCCATAGCCTCTTTGGTGGCCTCAGAGTGAGGAAGAGGAGTGGCCTCTCTGCCCTTACCAGATTTTAGGTTCCAGAGAGCAACAACTTATTGGCTCTGTGGCTTGTGCTGCGCCGCCTAGTGGTTTGAAGACTCAACAACTTGATTTGACTAGAGCCACTGTCCCTTATTAAGGGGCAAGCTCAGGCTTTTCCCAAAAACCTTGCCCTGCAGTCCCCCCCCACCCCAACACACAGTGTAACCTGGTCCTACCTTCCTGAGAATGAATGAGGCTTTCCCCAGCCCTCCCAAGGACAAATACACTGAAGAACCCTCCTGGAAGATATCACTCAGGAAAACGGAGTCTCTTGCCAGATGATGTCTACTTTCTCTCAAGCACATTAGCCTTGGAGATCTCCAGCAATAAGTTCTGCACCACCCCAACCACAGAGTCTCCACTCCACAATGCCCACTGCCTAGTTGTGACACAGACTGTCCCCCTCTCTGGACATTAGTGGCCATTCAGGCATCGCACAAAGCTACCAACGCCACAGTGTTACTTACTTGCTAAGTGGGAGGCAGGTTTCTGGGAAATTTGGGTCATTGCAGTAAAGCTGAGTTTGGCACTGGCATTTCTGGTCACTGGTGGCAGAGCAATTGGCTATGATTTTCTGGTCTGCAATCCAGGGAAGAATAGGGTCAGGTCCAGGTGAGCATCCTCACATATGTACACAGAGCCCACCAATACCTAAGAGGATCATCGTGCCCCAGTACAAGCTTTACTCCCCATGACAGATGCACTGAGTGCTTAACAGCACTGCCATGAACATCCTCACCCTTAGACCTGAGGTGATGGCTTGGGAGGTCCATTGTCCAGCATCCCGCACAACAGCCCTGGCGCCTCCGTCACAGGTGGTCCTGCTCTGTATGCCCACTGCTGCCCCACAAGGTTCCCCCTCCTGAGGCCACCACCTCCATCAGACATCTCTGACGGTGCCATATTTAATCACCTTATTCTTTGCTGAAGAGCACCTAGTGACCGTGTGTCCAGACCTCTGGCGGGTCCTGACTCAACGGCTTGTAAAGATGGTTTTCCCACTAGGGTGTTCCATTTTAACCTTGTGTCTATAGTTCAGGGTACCACAAACACTCAGCCTATAAACGTCATTTCCCATAGTTCTCCAAAGCTAGGAAGTGTCCATTCAGAGTGCAGCAGGCGGCATAGGCAGAGAGGACTCTCAGCCCAGCTCTCTGCAGATGACTTAGAGCCTCAGGGATCTATGATAGTGGAATATGGGCCCGATTTTTGTTTTGTTTGAGTCAGTATTTCTCTATATGGTCCTGGATGGCCTAGAACTTACAACATAGATCAGGCTGATCACACACTGATGTGCCCTTCCTATCTCTGCCTTCTGAGCTCCGGTGTCAGAGCTGTGTGCCACCATACTAAGCCTGCTTCCATCTTTACACTTAGGTGATGCTAATGCCAGGCATGAGGTATTGGAGTATTTGCCACCTAGTTTAACACGAGTCAGTGACATAGGAGTGTGTGTATGCAGACACACATGCGTGCACATACAAAACAGATTTCCCCCCCATAATGCCAGGGAACACACCCAGATCGTTTGCATTCTAGGCAAGCATTCTACCACTGAGCTGCACCCAGGGCCCCAGCAACTGCTTGAAGTCTGTTTGCTTTGTTTTGTTTTTTTGAGACAGAGTCTCACTATGTAGTTCTGGCTGTCTTTAAATTCACTGTGTAGGCCAGGCTGGCCTTTGAACTCACAGAGGTCTGCCTCCAGACTGCTGGGGTTAAAGGCACATGCCACCATGCTCGGTCTGCTTAAAGCTTTTGAGAACATTTTATCACATTTGCTGTATCTTGTTGGTGACTCCTGCAGGCCTGTGCCTCTTCTCTCTGCTGCCTTCGGGGATCCACACGGCTGCTGCTCTACTCTTTAAGCTCTATGTGTGTGGGAGCTTGCACACATGATTGCTTATTCTTGGAGGTATGATTTTTCTCGTTACCAGCATGTATTTTACTAGGTTCTGCATTCAATTGCCAACTAGGAGAAAAATGCTCTTAAAAAAAATGGCAGAAGGCTGTCTTTGTGATTGTGATTTTTCTGATATTGTTCTTACTCTGAGTCCCTCTCACTCATAATAATTTTGCCTTGGTTTGGTTTTGAGACAGGCTCTCACTGTGTAGCCTTTGAAACTGCCCTGGATCTCATGATATAAACACACTGGCCTTGAACTGCTTCTGCTTCCTGTGAGCTGGGATTAAATGTTGCTCAGCCATGGCCCATCTGTAAGAAACAAACTTTATGCCAGTGGGGACTCTGGCTTCGTCCTGGCATCCATCAGCCATGACTGCTCCATCCAAGTGCTGGACTATCATGCTTCTGACTCTATTGCCAATTTTCACAGCGAGACAGTGAACATCAGTCCTAGTCCGGCCTCTGCTCAGTCACATAATCACCTTTATGACACCTGGAGCAAAGCCTACAAGACTCTAGGCCATTAGGAGCCTCTGTGAACGTCCCTTGGTAACATTTCTCACATTGTCCTTGGGTGTGGGGTATCCGGCAGTGCTCCTGGACAAACATACCTGCAGATAAGGGGACACAGGGATCAGTCTTGCTCCAGGTACACAGAGGAAAAGGCCCGTGTTGCTCTGGGCAGGCTCAATGTCTTTAGCACAAGTTCAGAATAATCACTGGGATGTCACAACCTGCTTGAGGATCTGTAGGGCTGCTGGCTCCCTGAGCTGCTCTCATTCCTGTGGATATCTGACCCTCAGGGGTCTAGGAGCCAAATGACCCTGGGTGAGTAGAATGGACTCCTCTGACTCGCTCCTGCCCTTCAAGCCCCATGTTCTCCCTTTGAATGGCAGTCCCAGTGTTCCGAGAGGCAGTTGAGACCTGGGTAAAATCAGCTCACTTCCATTTACTGCCTCATAAGCATGTCACCCAGAACTTTCTTTCTCAGGCCTCTTTTGTTGTTATTTGTGGTACTGATACAGGCTTTCACAGTGTGGCTCAAGTTGGCCAGGAATTTATAGCAGTGTTCCTACCTATTCTCCTGAGTGTTGGGATAATAATGGGCTTGAGCTACCATGCTTAGCTTTTTTCTTTCTACTTCTATCTATCTGTCTATCTATCTGTCTATCTATCTATTTGTCTATTTTGAGATAAAGGCTAGCCTGGAACTCTATAGGTTGGCCTGGTCTGCAAAGACCACTGCCTCCATTTCTGAGTGCTGGCACTACAGGTGTGAACCAGCACACTCAGCTTTTTAAGTCTTTCCTGAAGGCAGGACAGTATTTCCATCCTACCAGCTTCCCCTGGGACCATTTTGAACTTCTTAGTTCAGGCTCTCTGCTGCCAACTGAGAATCGTTCAGATGAATCTGGGGAGGCAGAAGCAGGTAGATTTCTGTGAGCTGGAAGTCAGCCTGGTCCATGGAGTGGAGAGGAGGAGGTGGGGGAGGAAATGTTCAGGCAGCTCTTCCCTATTAATCGTAGAGAAAACTATAAACTACTAACTATGGGGAAATGACAAAATCCAGCAAGCATGTTACTCTTGTGTGTTCCCTGAAGGACAGCTGCAGACACTCATGACCAGGTGACCATTGAAAAAAGAGACCAGTGGAGTGAGGCTGGAGGTGATGGACTCAAAGGTTCAAGCGATGGGAAGCGACAGGGTCAGTCTGGGTCTTCAGCTAGGCCTGAAGTGAGCAAGGTGGACACCTGGCTGAGTCTTGCTGTTTGGCTCTCATATGCATTTGGCCATCAATAGTTTTTCATTTACAAGAGTTGATTGTAGTTTTTAAGATTTCTTTTTATTACTTGCGTTTGTGTCTGTCTGCCCATATATATGCAGGTGCCCATAGAGAGCAAAGAGGGCATTAGACCATCTGGAATCATAGGTGCTTGTGAGATGCCTGATGTGGGTGCTGGGAACCAATCTTGGGTCCCCTGCCAGAGCAACAAGCTCTCTTAATTGCTGAGCCATCCCTGTTTTTGTTTTTTCTGTCTTTTATTACAATCCAGCTTGAAATGAGAATGTGAGCGGCCATAGAGAAGAATGTTAAAATCAAGCTCTAAATTTTGGGAAGTGGCCAGTCTAGTTTTGGGGACACAGTACAGTATCCCTGTAGTGCCTTCCGCTGTCTGTAGCACTGGCTTCAAACCTGCTTGTCTGCTGGTATCGGGAGATGGCCTTCTCCTGAAGGAATGTTTGGAGGTAGCAGGGACAGGCCGACACTGGCTGTCAAGGGCTGCCATGGTGTGCCTGCGTAGGGCCCAGACTGGCCAACTAAACTTGTAAGAGCGATGTGCCTCTTTACTGCCCATCTGTGTTCTGTCTCTGGAGGAACGCCTCTGCTCTGTTCCAGGGGTGGGGAGGGTGGAGAGAACCTGAGGCTTACAGCCATAAGTATTTTCACTCTGGCCCCACATGGCTCTGCCTACATTGCACACAAACCTCTCTCAATGGCTGGGAACTGGACTTTGCAAGGAGACTTCTGCCAGGCTGAGGAGTGTAAAGAACAATAAGCTAAATAAATGGTTTATCTAGGGAAACAGGGCATGGGGCATGGGTCCCGGATGGTGTCACTTCAGTAGGCTTGGGTGTCCCACAGGACAAGCCTCCTAAGAGTGCCTTCATTCACCATAGTAGCCTGGGGCTTGGTGTGATTTCTGGTACATTTGTGCTGACAGACTTGGGGGGCTTGGGTCACCCCAAGTATCTGCAGCCCATTATGTGTTCCTCCATGAGTCATGAAGACCCTATGAACCATGGTTTGGTGAGCTGCCCTGACAAATTATACACCTGAGGGCAGGTGTAAGTTTCATGCCTGGGTCTACTATGTAATTTTAACCTTTTGTTGTAATGAGCCCTTACTAGGAAGGTGGCAGCTTTTCTGTGTGGTCTGGGTCCTTTGAGAAAATTCCTAAGCTTAGAGGCTCTTGTGGAGTAACTTCCTTTAAACTGAACCTTCCTTCCTGAAGGGAGGACTCGGGAAGTTACAAGAGTCAAAGGCTCTGACCAGGGTTGTGTGAGCAGTAAGTGTGGTGGCTTGAATAAAAATGGTCCCCATAGGGTCATACACACATTTGAACGCTTGGTCACCAGGGAGTGACACTATCTGAGAGGATTAAGAGGTACAGCCTTGTTGGAGGAAGTGTGTCACTGGGGGTGGGCTTTTAGGTTTCAAGGGTCCAAGCCAGGCCCAGCGTCTGTGTTTTCCTGCTGCCCGCAGATACAGATGTAAACTCTCAGCTACTTCTCCAGCAGCACGTCTGCCTGCCTGTGGTCAGGCTTCGCGCCTTTATGATAATGGACCAAACCTTTGAACTGCAATCAAGCCCCAATTAAATGTTTTCCTTTATGAGAGTTATCATGGCGACTGACTAAGACACTAAGCAATCTCTAGAGTGGGAGAGTCCAGCTCCGGGTAAGTTGTGCAGAGAGCTTTGGGCAAACAGCTTTACTAAGTGGTCCCCCACTTGGGGGGCGTGGTCACAATGATGCAGTCACCTCAGCCACCTATGCTCCTGAAGGGGACTCCGATAAACTCAATGATTCACCAAACCATGCTTTGGTAAATTGTTTCTTTGGTTTGTTCTCCTCGACTTAGCAGGAGTGAGCAGATGGTGTTCACATCTCCCCACAGCGAGTCCCACAACCAGGGGTCCCGACACGGGACACGTGCCCTCTGTCAGCTTAGCTGAGAGTGCAAGTACAAGCATGGCCACTGCCACCAACACACACGGTGACCTCAGCAAGCTACCTCAGATCTCCCGGCTCGGACGTCTCCGCTGGAAGTGGTGGCAGTGTGGGGATGGGGGTTTCCCCCTGCCTGTGGCGAGTACAGGGAGTCGAAATCAACCCTCCCGGCTCCCTCATCATGGAGGGTGGATAGGTGGGTGGCCCTCCACTAGTGAGGCCTTGGTATAAACATTCACACCGACCCTTGAACACACAGAGGGCCTCCTTTGGGGGTCTGTGTGCTTGGGTTAGAAGACACTTCCCAGAGTCTGAGAGAGTACGCAGTGGCTGAGCTGAGCTCCCCGGCCCACACCCACTTCACTCTGTACAGCCTCCAGCGTGCCTCAAATGCCACCCATGTCTATGCTCTGGCACTGGGTCAGACAAAGAACTCACCTGCAGGACATAACTTGCAGCAGTGGCCCATAGACAGGTACTCATCACTGCCGCAGCTGGAGATGTTCTGGCTTTCTCTGGAGAGTGGCATAGCAGTTACCTGTAGCTGGCAAAGGACAAGGGGAAGCTTAAATTTATTGACTGGTAACTGTGGATGATGGTGAAAAGGGAAATAGCAAGGCGGGGGCCTTCTTGTGGAGACAGGGCAGGGACTATCTGATGCCATGCTGAAGAACCACACTTGCCCGGAGGAGGCTGCCCAACAGGTCACTATAAAGTCTGGTGGCTCACTGCTGTTTGCACAGCAGGATCATTCCATCCTTCCCCCAGTTCTCTTCTAGCAGCCAGCGGCTTGTGTTGCAGTGCAACTTGTGACCTACCAGGACCCTCCAAACCTTGAGGCTCTCCAAACCTCAAGCTTTGATGGCTGCTTCCTGCGGTGGGGCTGCAGATGGAGGCACCAGTTCGAACCAAAAGTTTGAGAGGCATTTCTTGGGCTGGAGAGATGGCATTTAAGAGAATATGCTGGCTGGGCCTGGTGGCGCACATCTTTAATCCCAGCACTCAGGAGGCATAGGCAGGCAAATCTCTCTGAGTTTGAAGCCAGCCTGCTTTACAGAGCGAGTTCCAGGACAGCTAGGGCTGCACAGAGAAACCCTGTTTTGAAAAACAAAGCAAACAAGCAAGCAAGCAAAACAAACAAACAAACAAACAAACAAAAACAACCCAAAAAAGCATATGTTGTTCTTTCGAAAAGGCCAGAGTTTGGTTCCTAGCACTGATGTGGGAGGCTCATAAACCACCTGTAACTCCAGCTCATGAGAATATGGTGCCCATTTCCAGCCTCCTCAGGAATTGTAGACAATTGGCAGGTTTGCAGGGAACACTCACACACATAAAATAAAAATAAATCAAATCCTTAAAAAAGAAAATCTAATTTTATTTGGTATTTCATCACTCTAAGCCTCAAGTAACTGTAAAGAAATAACGAGATTCTGTTTTGTTTTATTGTAGTGCGGAGGATTAAAACCAGGGCTCACACACTGGGCCCTCATTAGCAGAATGCTACATTTCTAGCCTTGCAACAGATGGTTTTAAAGATTTATATTTGTGTGTATGAGCATGAGCCTGCTTTTACGTATGTATACGCTGTGAGTGCAGTGACGGAGGAGGCCAGAAGAGGGCATTAGAATCCTGGCACTAGAATCACAGATAATAAGCTGTCTTATGTGAGTGCTGGGAACTGAACCTGGTTTCTCTACAAGAGTAGCCAGTACTTTTTTTTTTTTTTTCATGCACTCCAGATACTGATACATGCTACATGAAACAGAGGCAAAAAAAAAAAAAAAAAAAAGAATTTGAAGTGGTGATCATTGACAGGAGATTGAAAGAACAACATGTGTGTGGGGCCATGATATCACACAAATTAATTATCACACATAAATTAATAGGTGCCTGGAAAAAAGTAGTTACCTTCGTCTCACTTTTCTCATCTGTAAAATGGGGAAAGTAATATACTTAGGGTTAGATTAAATAATGCATGTAGAACAGTTGGTATGTGCCTAGCACATTCTGTCTCCTCCCCACCTCCTTCTCTGAGTGACTTGCCTTGATGTTTTGCCTAAACAGATCACTTGAACTCTGTGCCTAAGAAACCACCAAGCTGAGGTGCTCTTCTTTATACTTACAGCTGCGTGGCACACACTCTTGAAAATAATTCTTCACAGCAGCAACGTTTAGGACCTGTCTCTACATTCCTGGGAGCTGTCCTCATTCCTCCTTACTATTCTGCTCCAATCTCACTCACTACTAGCGTTCTCCTCACAAACTTCTTTTTCCTCCTCACAGTTCTGAGCTCTCGCCTTCAGCAATGTTTCTTCAATAAGTGAGATAAACTTTTTGGCTGAAGGATTTTCACTTTCACTACCACACCCAGTCAATCTCTCTTTGAAGAACCTTCTTTTTTGTGGCATCATTTGAGTCACGTTTTTTCCACCCACGTTTTCTTTACAACATTGTCTATTTTTAGATTAGGATCATTTGGGTAGTTCCACCCATTTATTTTTGCATTAACTCAATTTTCTTTTATTTACTCAAGTTGGGCAGGAGTCTTTTTATTTATTTTTTTTTTGAGTTATTAGCTTCATCACCTTCATCTTGGTGTCATCTTCACCATTCTTGTCTGTCTAATCTGACAAATTTTCATCACCCCCTGGAGGCCATACTCACTATTTTTCTCTCTTGATGTTGCCAGCTTCACCTGTTCTTTCATGTAGGAAGGACAATGACCACAGGTGAATTTGTTAAGATATCTTTATGGCCCACGCCTTTAATCCTAGCACTTGGGAGGCAGAGGCAGGCAGATCCCAGAGCTCAAGGTCAGCTTGGTCTACAGAGGGAGTTCCAGGACACCAGGGATAGGAGGCTGACCAAACTCTAGCACGAAGTGTTGGCCCTAAAACCCACAGGTCATGAACTACTATTTTTTTTTTTTTGTATTCTTTAAAGAGATGTTATCTCAGTCTTTTATTCTGATTTTTATAAGACAGTGCCTCACTATACAGTCCTGGCTCTCCTGGAACTCATTATGTAGACCAGGCTGGCCTCAAGCTCACCAACATCTGCCTGCCTGTGTTTCCCAATGCTGGGATTAAAAGCGTGCACTACCACACCCAGTCAATCTCTCTTTGAAGAACCTTCTTTTTTGTGGCATCATTTGAGTCACGTTTTTTCCACCCACGTTTTCTTTACAACATTGTCTATTTAGATTGTTTCTGGGGATTTCTGGAACACAAAATGCAGGGCCAAGACTTCTCTGACAGGCAGGGTGCTTCTGAGTCGCAGATGGGAGGGGCAGAGAAGTTGGCAGAGTCAATATCCACTCGAGGTCTGGGTCCCACTCGTCAGGAGGACTTGTGTAATCTGTACGCCGTGCCCAAAGCACCGTAAACCTTAAAGCCCATTGAAATTGGCAGCCTGCCCAGGGAGTGTACAGGCTAGAGGGACCGGCCCATTCCATTGAACAGCGAATCCCTTTGGTGATTTCATTTACATTTGTGTTTTGCCTCCATGTATGTCTATATGAGGGTAGACATTACAGGAACTGGGGTTACAGACAGTTGCCACTGAGCCATCTCTCCACCCCCCCCCCCCACCTTTGGTGATTTTAAAAGCCGGATTACATGTAAATGGTCTCTGACTGCTCGACTACTATCTCAGAACAACCTAAGGATTTCTGTTGTTGTTGAAATTAAAAATCTAAATGTGCTGTAAAACGCTATATCCTTACAAGTTTATAAAACATAAACCTTTTTCTGCTTGTTTTTTGGTTTTGAAGACAGGGTCTTCAACCTCAGCTGGGTTGGAAATTTCTATTAGAGACCAGGCTGAACTAAAAATCGTGGTAATTCTTCTGCCTCTGCCTCCTGAGAGTTGAGATTATAGGTGTGTGATACCAAACAAGACGTAAGAGAGAGAAAACTAGCATAAAATGAAGTTGGCTGCAACTAAAAGGTCATTTACAGGGCTGTCTATGAACAACAAATGAAATGTTGTTCATTTGTTTGTTTTTCTGAGTTTTTCTCTGTGCAGCTCTGGCTGGCCTGGAGCTCGCTATGTAGCCCAAGCTGCCCACTAACTTAAATTTAACTGCAGTTCACTATTCAAGAGGCAAGGAGCGATCTTGGGACAAACTTGCAGAGATCAGAAAGACCCGTGAATGAAAGGCAGTAGTAGGTAGAGCCCTTCCTTCCACACAGGTTTTTTTTTTTTTTTTTTTTTTTTTTTTTCACTTCTAGTAGTAGTTACTACACCTCTCGGGACCAGCCTTGCCAGACCCACGAAGAGCATGCGCGCGAGCCTACAACTGTGTGCCCCGGCCGGCCGGAGGAAAGGAAGAGCTCCCGGCGGCAAAGCCTCAGGAGATACTCTTTCTCATCGCACGCGCCGCGGTTGACCGCTTTCCGACGAGGAAGAGCGGGGAGGCGTGCCCCGCTCGTCCCAGCGCTCAGGGACCGACGAGACACCCTTCTCCGGGCGGACGCTTGGCCCGCCAGTCCCCTGCTCCAAGGCCCCACTCCCGACTCCTGACCGCGCTGGCGGTGGTCCCCGGCGCCTCACGGGCCCCGCAACCTGTTCACCGCCAGCCCCCCCCCCCCCCCCCCCCCCCCCCCCCCTCCGGTGAAGCTACGAGACCCGGTGCCGGGACGCAAGTCTCAGCTCTGAGGCCTGCGGCGGAATCCACTCACCAGCATCAGGAGCAGGGGCAGCAGCCAGAGACTCGGATTGGAGACCAGCGCAGGACAGAGGACCATGACTCAATGTGCGCCGCTCTTGGCGAGTGCTTCTGTTTATAGGATTTAGCTTACCAACCCCACCCCCCGTCCTCTCTGTAACTGGCTGTCCGTAAGGTTGCCCAACCTCCTGGGCGTGTCCCGCGCCTCCACTCTACGCGCCTCCTGGACGAGTCAGCGCTACAAAGAAACACTCACCACTTGTAATATCTAGTTTTCTATAAACACAGATGTAATTTTAAACCCTACTGAAGTCGTTAAACAATCATATTTGTTGCAAGCAGCAAGCTAGAGTAGGATTCTTTGCTTTCTTTTTTTTCATCACGGTATATTGATCTTGTAAAGCTTTCACTGCGTGGGAGAAAAAAACTGCAGGGCAAGGTTTTGGGGGAAAGTCTGAGCTTGCCCCTCAATAAGGGACAGTGGCTCCAGTCAGATCAAGTTGTTGAGTCTTCAAACCACTAGGCGGCGCAGCACAAGCCA